CTGAGCAGGGAGCCTGATGCGGGACTCGATCCTGGGACTCCAGGATCATGACCTGAGCCGAAGGCAGTCGCCTAACCAACTGAGCCACCCAGGCGCCCCTATCGACTGGTTTCTAAAGGGGCCTCAGCACAGCCTGCTAGACCTCTCCATATACCTGCAACCATGTGACCCCCCTGCAGGCTGGTTGAGCCCATCTGAAGCTCTGCCCTCAGGATCTAAGGAATTCTAGGGTCACCCCTAATGTGAAATAATCCAAGTGATCCTTGCTGAGAGCCTTGCTCAGACCCCAAGTCTTGGTTTTGTGACAAGGCTTCTATCATCCCTACAACATGCCCAACTTCTGGCTGTGGGACTCAGGGTTGGTTTCTCTGGGCCTGAGGATCTGTCTTGGGAACCTGGCCAGTCCTTCTAGACCCTCAGGATAGGGGTCTTCCTTGCTCTCAGAGGCTCATCGTTCCTACCTCCCACCTTAAGCCAAACCAGGATCTGGAGATGCTGTTTCTCCCCTCTTGCCTGCCTATATCCTGCCCTCCTGGTACCTTCTAAGCCACTCATATCCTCCCTGGAAGCCACCCTCCACCAGCCGGCCTGAGCATCCTCTACAACCATCCTCTACAGCATTGGGCCCCCAGCACCTACCCCTCTCCCCAGTGCATCCTGTCCTACAAGCTGGAGTTACTAGACCTTAGAGTGTCAGGGAAGGAGGAAGACAAAGGCTGACATAAAATAATGATCATGGACCAGAGATGAGAGGGATTCTAATGACAACTTAGTCCACCTCGTAATTAACAAATGGGGGAAAAACCAAGAAGAGGAAAAAGGCCTTTCTTCATTTCGTGATTTGGGGATTGGGCACAAATTACTTGAGAAAGGAAGACCTGAAAATGAAAAACTGTCATCATCCATAAAAGAAAGGTAGTAGAGTCTCCACTTCTGCAGGCAACCTGGCCATTTTCCCTACAGAACATTTTTTTTTTACAACATCCAATTTTTCTGGAAAATCTCTTCTTCTACTTTAAAATTGTCTTTTAATAAATGCTTAGACATTAGAAAATTGTAGCCTGTGAGAGAAAACCACAGCCTATCAAAATAAAGTACTTTCTATACTCAAAATAGGGTTGACAATACTGATATCTATTAGTGACATTTTCCTCTTTTTTTAAAAATAGAATGAGTTGAAGTAATTCAGGCACCAAATGCACCCTGCTTGAAGGTGAGGCACATACTAGATGCTCAGTGAAGACATAAAATTAAATAAAACACGGATTCGATCATTTTAAGCCATCAAACTCATTATAACAGGAATAATAAACTGGAAGATTTAAAAAAAAAAAAAGGGAATTCCAGGTTGCTATGCCCAAATTAAAACTCTGTTTAAAACATTTCTAAGGGGAAAAAAAATAGCATCAAGTATGTTGAAAATGCTGCAGGAGGAGGCCAAGGCCATGGGTGAGGAAGGAGAATGTGCCTTCCAATGGAGAAACCTGCTGGTGTGGGTGGGGGGAGGGACCCAAAGTCTGGCTGTTTTATCTCAGACTGCTCACCCAGTTTGGTTTCCGGTCCCTGGGGAGCTGTCAAAAATATCTCCTCCCAATTCCTCCCCCCGCTAAGGATCCCCATCCCCCAAGGACCCAAGAGCAGCCAGTGGGGGCGGGGAGGGGCAATGGCCAGCCGAGGAGAACTCACCTGGAGGGAGCACATCCAAAGCGACTCTGTGCACCGTCTGGGGCCCCGTGGCCCCCTCCACCACGCAGCCATACTCGCCAGCATCCTCCTCCCGCAGGGTAATCATCTCCACCTGGAGCAGGCCGCCCCCCAGGTCGGTGAGAAACATGCGCTCGCCCCCAGGGGCTCTGCGATCCACAGCCGAGGACACCAAGGGCTGGCACCCCTCTGGCAAGAGCCGGCACCACACCTTCCGAGCCTTGATGTCCTGGGGCCCGTAGCGGCACTGAACCAGAATGGAGCCCCCCACGGGGGCCTGCAGCACCTCCGGGAAGGTGCCCGCCGAGCCCTGGCCTAGGGAAGGAAAGGACATGGGAAGGCTGGGCAGGAGCTGCGGGAACTTTCCAGTCCACCCACTGCCACAGGGGCACAGGCATGGAGAGGTCCACCTTCTGGGCCCTACATATGTTATTGTTGCCACAATAACGCCGGTTATTCCTGGGCCTGGAGCGGAGTGTAGGGGGCCCCAAGTGCACCTCCTTCTAACCTTACCTGCCAGTCCCAGGAGCAACAGCAGTAGCAGGTTGGGGCCCATGGCAGGTCGGGCAGATGTCAGCTCTGGGGCTTCCCTGGCCACTGACACAGCATTCCCCAGGGAGCAGGAAACATCTGCCTCAGACAGTCACGTGGGGCTCTCGGAGGCCATGGAGAGGGAGGCAGGCACTGGGGGCCCCTCTGTGGGTGGGGATAAGGCGCCCTTCCGAAGCCTGGTTGGTTCAGTGCTTGGGAACTTGACCATGAGGGTCGGTAGGGGTGGGCGAGGCAGGGTGAGAAGGCCCAAGGGCGGGCAGAACCCGGGCTCTTGGGGCCCGGTTAAGGGATGAGGTGGGAGGAGGATCCCAGTAACTGGAAAGCAGTAGAGAGAGAGGGAAGAGAATCCTCAGAGTCTTCCAAAGATCAAATCGGAGGATGCAGAGGTGTGAAGGAGGAAGGTGGAGCGTTATTCTGGTTCTATAGTCTGTAATGAGCACACAGGCCTGAGCTCTCAGGAGACTGTCCGGTCCTGCTGCACGACCTCACATCAGGAGGCCCCACTCCAAGGTGCCCTGGATGGCACCCGCCTTCATTCACTGTGCCCGGTGCTCTCGAGACTTGGCAGCGTGCACCCATGTTCTCCAGTTCTGGCAACCGCATCCATCCTTTGATAATGACGCCCCATTTCCTCTTCCCCCGTTTTCTGGAACTCCTTAACTAGTTGGATACTGAACCTCATGGATTCATCTCATTTTCCTATCTTTCCTCTCTTGTTTTCCATCTTTTTGTCCGTTTTGTTCTGATTTCGAGAAGACACCCTCATCTTTTCCTTCCATCCCTTCTATTATTGTCTCGTGTTTATTTCCTTAGTATTTTCAATTTACAAGGTTTCTTATTCTCCAGACATTTCTTATAGCATATTATATTTGTTTAAAGAATATCCTAGCCTGTCTGTTGGGAGACAATTCTCCATGGATATTTTCACATTTCTGCATGGTCTGGGCACTGATCGAGCTTTGTTCTAGCGTGATTGAATAGCAAACATGCCTTGAATGCTAGAGAGAGTGTATCAGCTCCAGAGGAACTTGCTTAGACAGATCTACCCCCTCCCTCGAGAAGAGCTGTTTACCTTCCAGGGTAAAGGTGTCTCTCTCCCAAGAGAGGGAGATGGGCTGATGCTGTATATAAACTCCAAGCCTCATCTTTGGAGGTTCCTCTCCTGTGACACAAGCCCACTGCCGGCACAGAAAACATATGGCCCCCATTCACGTTGCCCTGTGCAAAACTGGGGTTTGGGGACCCTGCACCAAATGTGGGCGATAAACCTCCTGACCTGGGACAGTGGTGTTCAGAAAGACAAGGGCGGGCAAGGTGGGGATGGCTGAAAGGGGCACGCTGCCCCTGACCTAGACATCACACCTAGAAAGGGGCTAAAGAAACCACCCTCCTTCCTTCCTCTCCCCTCCTTTCTCTCCTCCTTCCCTCTCCCTCTGCCTCTCTCCTTCCTTCAGGAGCAAGGGAGCTACCAATGGGGACTGGGAACAGGAGCCCGAGAAAGCCGGACAGTGTGTGAAGCTGGAAGTGGTGAGAGGGTGACCAACTGTCCCGTCTGCCTGGTGCTGTGAGTTTTCCTGGGGACACGAGACTTTTGGTGCTACACTGGCAAAGTGTTGGGCAAACTGGACAGGTGGGTAAGCCTCGTGGGTGACATGAAAGTGCTTATGTCTGTCCTGCCAATATGTATCAGGTTTTCTTCGATTTCCTTACGAGAAAGCTATTACACTAATGGGCCGTGAAGAGGAGACCTGTCCTCAATATGTAACCAAGTGTCTAAAACAGGTACAGTCCACACCTTTGCAGGACAGAGGTGACCAGGCCTCAGGGAGGTGTCAGACTGTGGGCATTAGAGAAGAGGAAGGAAGCCAGTGTTCATCTGGGACCTGCTCTGCACCAAACATCTGGCCTGGGACTTTCACTAATGGTATTTCTTTCAACCCCACAAAACCCCAGCAAAAACAGGGTTGATTTGTTTGTTTGTTTTGTTTTTTAATAGGTGAGGTTCAGAGGGGTTAAGGAACTTGCTTCAGGTTTCTGCGTAGGAGGCAAATTTGGAGCTAAATTACCTGACCCCCTTCAGTCCCGTGTGCGCCCCAGAGAGTCCAAGGCAGGGGATCCCAGCGGCAATCCAAACCCTGAGGGGACGTCAAAATGTGGCAGAAGAAGAAAGACAAAAGGCCAAGCTCTCAAGATCAGGCGAGCAGCAGGCACTCTCCAGTGACGCACACAGGGGACCATCCCCTGCCATCTTGTCGGCCTTGGTGCTAGCAGGTGGACAGGCTCACTCCTGGCTGCTAGACTGTGCCTCAGGTCTGCGGGAAGGAGACGGGGCCCAGAACCTGATGAGGAAGCTTGACGTGCCGCTGAGTCCAAGGACCTGGGACACATAGCCTGGACCAGCGTCCCGGAGCTGGGGACAGGGCTAGCGCAACAGCCTCTGTGGGGAGTGGGCAGGGCTGGGCTGGGCTGGCTCCGGGGAGTGATGTGTAGACGTGAGGCTGGACACGAGGGCTCCAAACCCCAGGAGCCCACGCCCATGGTAGGGGGCAAAGCCCTGGCCACACGGGCTCCTGGGCTTCCACCTTGCCAAGGCCAAGGATGGGAGTGCCTCATTTCCTCCTCTTCCTGCAGGCCTCCCTGGGCAAGTCTCCATCCCCTCCCTCTCACTCGTGGCTGCGATGGTGTGTTGTGCTCGGGGGAGAGATGAAGTTCCTAAGCCGCCCTGGCTGTCCCTCTGCCCCAGTCCTCGGGTCCCGATATCCTCGTGGTTCACTTCCTCACCTCCTCCCAGGGCTTCTCCAGCGGTTCCTTCTGATGCCCTCTAGCATGACATCATCCTGTCCCTTCTGCACTCCCAGTCTGCCTAGTCATTTGCTCCTCAGCACTTTATCTTTTTTTTTTAGAATTTATTTATTTGTCAGAGAGAGAGAGAGAGAGCACAAGCAGGGGGAGGGGCAGGCAGAGGGAGAAGCAGGCTTCCTGCAGAGCAGGGAGCCCGATGCGGGGCTCGATCCCAGGACCCTGAGATCAAGGCCTGAGCCAAAGGCAGACGCCTAACCGACTGAGCCACCCAGGCTCCCCCTCAGCTCTTTATCTTTTAACAAACCATCTGGCTGACTTATTTATTGTGTCTGTCTCCCTCCCCTCCCACTAGTCTGTGGCTCTGTGTGGGCAGGAATCTTGGCCCGTTTTGTTCACTGTTGTGTCTCCGGCGCCTAGAATGGTATCCAGCACAGAAAATATCTGTTGAATAAATAAACGAATAAATGAGCAGGCTTGAGCTAGAGGGAAGGGCAACTTGAACACCAATCGAAATTTGCACTTCCAGGCTCTGCTGGGGACTTGGGGTGACGTCATTCCCTTTTGAGCCTCAGTTTCCCTTCTGTGTAGTGAGAGGCTCAGACCAGTTGTTCCCGGCTCTGGTATGCTGCACTATATAAGAAGCTGTGGCTGTTTGCCTGTAGGGGAAGTAACAGGAGGAAAGCAAAGCTCTGGGGAAGGGAGTGGATGAGTCAGCTGGGAGATGGACTGGGGCAAGGGTGGGCAGCAATAATCCTAGAATAATCCTCCTGAGGGGCAGGAGGCAAGTGGAGGAGAGGGGAGCCAGACTGGGTGCTAGAGAAATCCCAGAGGAGGAGGCAGGATTCAGTAATTAGATCTAGGGAAGGGAGCGAGAAGAAGACAAAGATGGGTGGCGTGGAGCCTTTGAGAATGGCGGGATGCAGTAGCCTAAGGCCTGAGGCCCCGAGGGGTCAGAACTTTTATCTCATCCTCGGCCAAATTCATTCTCCTAGCCCTGGAGCAAGAGAGAGGCCTTCGCAAAGCCCCAAACCATCCGATTAAACATGAAGTCTTGGATTTATTTGGGAGAGTATTTAATGCCCAGTGTATAGAAGTTGACAAATGTTCTCCCCCTCCCCCCCCCCACACCCTTCTGTTTCCAGGACCAGGGGAAGCAGAGGATGGGCAGTCTGGCCTTTTGCCAAAGCAGAACCAGGAGTCTTGGTGGCCGAGGGACCAGTGTGCAGGCTGGGGTGGTTCCAGCAGGCCTCTCCTGGGCCTCGTCCCATCAGGGGTCCTCTTCTCTCATGTGTCTCTCCGCTCTGCAACCGACCGATGCTCACATGGCCCCTCTGAGCTCCACCTCGCCACCCCTGCCCGGTCCACCCCCAGCCACCGCTGTGCTCCTCATGCTCACCTGTTAGGGTCTGGAGCTGGGAACCTGGGTCGTGGCCACAGTCCGGCTCACTGGCCGAGGGTGTCCCCAGTTTCTGCCCACGCCAGGCCACAGCCCAGAGGGCACTGGCTGCTAGAAACTTGCTGAGAAAGATGCAGGCCAGGAGGAGAAGGATGGAAGTGGGTGGGAAGGGCATGTCCTCTTTGGAGAGACTCCTTGGAGACACAAGGAGGACATGAGGGAGGCCTTGGGGTGGCCCACACACTGAAGTCTGCCCTTGGAGAAGGAACAGGGAGACACTGGGAGCTCTCAGGGGCCTAGAATAGCTCCCCACCCAGCACCATCCCTGGGATGAGGCTTTGTGGGCTTGGGGGAGCCTGTAATCAGGATCTACCTGCTGAGCACATTTAAACACTTCCCTTGCCGAGCAATTACCTGCTGTGCATGATGGTATAGTGGGGGGGGGGGTGCACATGTGTACACTGTGGTTACATTAACAATATTTCAACATCAGTACACAGGCATGAACCAATCAGAGCTGATTCTGGTCCTACCAAAGGAGCAGGTATCTGCTGGGGGTCCCAGTCTTGTACTTAAACTTGTATTGTTGTTAAACTGTGGGCTGTCCAAGGGCTGCCAGGGGAGGAAGGGGAGGCTGGGCATTCAGCAGGCTTGGAGCAGCAGTTATGTATAAAAAAAGAGAATTTCAATATTTTAACAACTGGCATGGCCATACCAACACACAGTGGCTAGTTGGAGGTTGTGTTCAGAAAAATCATCCCCAGGCCCTTTCATGCTTTAACTGTCTTCAGATTTGTAGTTAGTTCTAGGACCCCAGCCTCCTTCCCATGCCCGGGCTCTGCACGGCGGAAGTCTGCCCAGAGACCTTAGCAGAGACCCGTCTCTATACCTGGCGATGCTGGGCTCCACATGGATGTCCTTGAAGCCTTTGGACTCTTTGGGGATCCAGAGCTCTCCAGGGTCCAAGTGATCAAGGGGGTCTGTGGAAGACAGAGCCTGTGAGCTTCTAGCCCCTCCTCCTTGAGGCAGCCAGCTGCAGTGGGGAGAACCCATCTGGGTGTGGTGAGGCCCCCTGGGCTCTGGCCCAGAGCAGATCGGGTCATTAGCCTCTCTGAGCCTCGGTCTCCTCACCTGTAAAGTGGGTCGAATAGAAACACCTCCTTTATAGTAGTGTTGCAGGATTCAGGGAGAGCATCTTGTATAGTGCTTAGCACCTCATCGGAGCTTGGTAACTCCCACCCTCCCATTACACAGGGTCTTTGGGAAGGTCAAGTGCATGAATGGATGTATTTGAAAGTTCTGCGTGAACTGTCAGGCTGTCTACATATATTATTATTATTATTATTATTATTTTATATTATTTTCCTGCCACCCCCTTGGGAGTTGGCTGAGGCTTAGACCCTGATAGGGCTGAAAATTTGTGTCCCTTCACCCAATTCTCCCCCTTCCCACCATGTAACAGAGTGATGGACGTGGGGTTTGGGTCTAGGGCAACCCGTTTCCCCTCCGCTCCCCACCTTAGACCTTAGACAAATGGCTCATTTCCACCACAAGGGGCCATGTTGTGGGGGAGGAGGTGGGGAAGGGCGAGAGTCAGAAAGGCGACTCGTACCCCCAGATTTCTTCTCCTTGGGGACACACGGTGTTCTGGAGACACAGGCAGAAGGCTTCCCTGGAGGGCTTCCCTGTGCCAAGCTCAGGGGTGGGGAGGACCCCGCTGCCTGGCAAGCCTGGAAGGAGGACCCCAGGTCAGCTCAGCAGCAGGAGGCTGGGGCGGGGGCTGTCACTTACCCCCAAGCACTTTTAACCCTGTCACCTCATGGGCGCCTCACAGGAGCCCTGTGGGGGCAGCAGGACAAACATCATCATCTCCATTTAAAGATGAGGACGTGGAGGCCCAGAGAGGCAAGCACATCACCCGGGGTCACAAGCAGTGCCCCTTCCTCGGGCTGTTTTCTGCACCAGGTTGGCGCTTACTTTGTATTGGCAGTTCCTCTGGGTAATTGGGTGAGGGAGCAAATGAACCTCCTCCTACTCCTTAAGGGCCGCTTTAGGTGTTCACATCCTAACTGGATGCCAAATGGATAAAGCTGTTTGGGGAGGCAGGACCATAGCCAGCTCATTCGGTGCCTTGTGCAAATTAGAGGCCAGGACCCTTCCTGCCAGAGATGCGGTCCTGCCCCAGGGAGTGCAGCCTGGAGAGGGGCGCCAGGGCTGGAGTGTGGCCCCCATGTGCAGTGAGCAACCCGCACAGCCATCCACTGTGGCCCTGAGTGGGAGGGCAAGAGCCGCATGGTGGGTGTTCCCAGACATCGGGGACCTAGTCCCAGCCCAGGGGTGGGCCAGCGGTGCAGTCCGCCACGCACTCACCAGCCAGCACCTCCACCAGGACATTCCTGAGGGTGTCGGCCTCATCCCCGTACAGACTCTGGCACTGGTAGAGGCCAGCGTCATGGGCTTGAAGGTTCCGCAACGTGATGGTGAGAGTGCCACCCAGGGCATCGTCCACGATGGCTGTGCTCCCATTCCGCCTTGTTAGGAAGGACAGTATCCATGAGCGGTGGGTGCTAACGACCCGCTGGCACGGGCCCCCTGCATCCAGCTGGCGGCACCAGGCTTTGCGTCTTCCCCAGTGCTTCAAGGAGTTGTAGGGGCAGGAGACCTGCAGGGACCGGCCTACCATGCCCTGGAACACCGTCGTGTTGTGGGCTCCGGACAGCTCTGGGGAGGAGATGTTCCTTCACTCTTTGTTCATTTACCAAATGTTTCTCGAATGCCCACGTGTGCAATGACCAAAGAGATAGAAATCTTGCCCTTAAGGAGCTCAGGTTCTTATGTAAGTTGGGAGAAGGTGCACAGCCCACCGTGACACCCAGGTCCTAGGTCTGGCTTTAACACCGTTGGACTTGCTGGGCATTTTTAAAGGAGTAACTGACCATCTCTGGGCCTATTTCCAGAGACATTGGTCTTGAAGTTCCCTCCAGTTCTATTCCACACATTTTCTCCCTATCATATGGGACCCTCTCCATCTCAAGAGAGCAGGGCCAGTGGCCCCTCAGCCTGGGCTGGATACCATCTCCCGGCCCTGGCCATTCATGCTTACTCTGCAGCTGCCCACGCCCGCACGGGCTCTGCATCTTCTCCTTCTGACCTTTGGCTCCCGGCTTCCCTATTTCTGTGGCTTTGTTCCCCTTTCAGGAGAGACTCATCTCAGAGCTATTTTGGGGGAGACATGAGGCTGCTATTTTGGGGACCTTTCTTGGGGCAGAGGAGACAGGCTTAGAGCACAGTCTATCGCCAGGGCAGAAGCTGCAGAAGAATCACCTGGAGCCCTCTGCCTCAACTTCCCCTCTCTTGGTCCTCCCTTACCCTGTCTTCAACCATATGGTGACAGAAACTTGGAAGACAAGATCAGGGAGTGGGTGGCCTGCCTTTAGGAAGCAGTGCTCCCTCCACTTGTCACCCTGTCCATCCCTCTGCTTCCAGGCAGCCCCCGGTCTTCCCCCAACTCCACTCCTAGCTAAGAAGCCTCAGGAGAAGGGCTCCGCTGGAACAGCCTCTCCTCTCACCAGGCTTGCCTATTGCTCTAGGGGAACAAGAGGCACCTTTCCCCAATAAAAGGAGGTAGTTGTGTGCAAGAATCTGGGGTGTCAGCCCTCCAACTCAGTGACAGAAATCTGCAGCCCCCTTAACTCCCTTCCAGGGCGGAGGACAAGAGGACCTTCACATCAGCAGAAGAGGCACCCCGAAGATGCACATGCTTGGTTGTGGGTTTCATCCCTCTTTCTTCCCTCCCACATTGCCATCCCTCTGGGGCTAGCAGTTCATAATTTTAGGGGCTCTTACCCATGCCCCCCAAAACTTCCCCCAACTGCTAGCTAGTGCCTGAGATGTCACTATCAGAATTCCTTCCTTTTCCGTGTGGCCAGAATCCACCAGCCCCTTATACTTCCACCTGTATGAAGAGTCTGACAGTGGGCTCTCACACGGGGGAGGGAGGGAGAGCACATAAAGCACATAAAGAATGTGGGGCAGGTGGGGAAAAGAGGGGTGCAGAACATGCTGCAGACTTTAACCGCCTTTATAGTTCAGCCCAGTGCTCCCCACCCACCCGCCATATACTCAAGGAGGGGAGGGAGAGACGGCAGGGGCAGCGGAGGGACGGGGTCCTACCTGTGATGGCGAGCAGGATGAGCAGCCAGAGAGGCTCCATGCCTGCCTTCCCTGGCGGAGGGCAGACACAGGGTACCTTGTGCAAGATCTCGTCTTTCCCTTGAATTGCAGAAAAGAGAGGGTTCAGGCACATCAAGTGCTGCCCACAGGAACTAGGCTCCTGGGGATTGAGAAATAGTCAGGACTGGGGTCTGGCTTTATGATTTAGGGAGGGGTTGTGGGGGGGGGTGGGGAGGAAGGGAGAGGAGGAGCCAGCCACTGCCTCCCAGCAGCCAGAGGCTGGGGATCCCAGACCTCCGAGAGGCCAGCCCGCCCTACTGCCCCTGCCGGCCAGAGTGACCCCGAATGGCTGGGGCTGGTCAGTGTCCAAGGCACAGTCCTCACTGCTGTGTTCAGACCCTCCTCCTGCCACTCACCCACTCACAGCACCTGCCACACTCTGGTTCCAGCCTCGCAAGGGATAGGGAACTGCTGGACCCTCAACCAGCACCTCTTAGTCCTTCCCTCCAGGCCAGCATCCCTATAGTGTGGCAGCGTCAGACTTCAAGTCCCTCCTTCCTCAAGTCCTGTGTGTGCAACCACCCATCCATAACCTCTCTGTGTCTCAGTTCTTACATCTATAAAATGGGAAGAATAATAGTGTGTAGAGTTATTGGGAGGGTAACATGGACTTCCACAGGCAAAGTGCTTTAGAATAGAGCCTAACTAGTACTATTATCCTAGTTAGCAGGGGAGGGGAAGATAGGCTCTCCACGAGAGGGAGAATTTTCTCTTCCACCTGTAATCTCCTGCCCAAGTTTATCCTCCCTTGCACAGCTGGATGCCTCCTGTGTGCACATGCTCACACGGACATTATTTTGTGCACGCACACACCTATGGGACAACACAGGACGTGACCTTTGCTGGAGTTCCGGGCGGGGGGGTGCTTTCCCCACAGGTGCGGGCCCTTGAAGGGTGATCCAGACACAGGGACTTGCATGGGCAAAGGCAAAGTATGAAATGGCTCGGTGGTGAATCGGGGATGGGGTGGGGGAGGTGGGTCATTCCCAGGGGCAGGAAGTCGGGTCATGCTGGGGGAAGTAACTGGAGAAGCTGAAAGAGCCCACAGGGACCCACAGATTATCAGAGTCTACTTTGGTTCCTTGCAAGAGCTCACTGATTTGTTTTTATTCACTTTACCCTTACGGACTGTGCATCTACCATATGTACAGGGAATGTGCTTGGAGATGGGAGTTAATGATAAACATAAGACAGTCCTTCACTTAGAAATCAAATGCCCAGGGCGCCTGGGTGGCTCAGTTGGTTAAGTGACTGCCTTCGGCTCAGGTCATGATCCTGGAGTCCCGGGATCGAGTCCCGCATCGGGCTCCCT